TAAAATACCTATTGTATTGTTTGAGTTAATGTTGTTTTAATTAGTTTTTTTATTTGGTGTAGTGTTCAATTCAATCTATGACATTTTATTTGTATAGTCCATACTCACAAATCACAGTTTGTCTCATCCTCTGCCCTTAACTCTCAACAAGAGTAAGAAAAAGAAATCCAAAGCAGCCCTTTAAACAGGGGAAACAACGTAGAAACCTCAGAGAGAGCCACGTGTGAGGGATCCCTCTTCCAGGATGGAGAGAAGTGCAATAGATTCCACCTGTAACTGGGAATATCAGAAAAATAAGAGTATTTACAACATTGATTAGAATAAACAGTTTGTAACATAATTGAAAAGTGTGTCTATGTTTAAAGTATTTGTATATAAGAAAATGCAGTTATTGTCAGTAATGGTAGAGTATGTGAGTAGGCGTATTGTATATCAAGCACTCGATCATGGTCCACCACCACGATGCAAGATCAGCTGCCAACACGATACAGAATCCTCCAATACGATCATGATCGCTGATTCACGATCCACCATCATGATCCACAATGTCAGAAGTCATGTATGTAGGAGAAGGGAGAGTAGGGAGGATAGAGATAAGATTAAAAGAGAAGAAAGATTATTTCAGGGTATGAAAAAATGGATGGATATGATCGAGAGAGAGGCTGTGGTGAGAGAAGACAGAACAGAGTTTATAACAACATGATAATAAGTGAGTTTGATTTGAATGTGTAAAAAGAATGTGATGTGTGCAGTGTGGGAGGGGAAACATGTATGCATGAATTTGTTGAATGTTGTGAATTAGAAAGTTTTTTCATGAAAATGAAAGATCTAATTAGCAGATGTTGGTAGGGAAGATTTGTGGAGAGAATGGAATGGAGAAAGCTGCGGCTGTTTGGGGTGACTGGCAGACAGAACCATTCTGACAAGCCATGCAAGATATGCTGTCAAACTCAGAAGAAACTTAGCCCATTACTAAAAGAATAAAGTTGAAGTATGGTGTGTCTTATATTATGAAAAGATATATATATATATAAAAAAGATAAAAAATATCATATACAGCTATATTTCTCAGAGGATTTGTGGATGGGAGCACTTTCATTGAGTTTAAGGATGACGGGAAGGCGATATTGGATTTTGGTTAAAAACCTCTTGTTTTTATTCATTTATGCATTTATTGTACTGGCACTAGCTTGAGATGCAGATAAGCATGTGTTTCATGTATTCAGAAGCCACGTGGTCAGAATATATAAAGGTTGATGTACAATATTTGTATATAAAATGTATGAAATCCAATGTATTTTGATAATAAAAGAAAAAAAACATCTTGGAAGCTTAGCAGGGTCGGGCCTGGTCAGCACTTGGATGGGAGACTTGTGCTTTAAGCTTTTTACACCTTTCTTTGCAACCCGCAGAGGGTGCTGTTGCAGCTGCTTCAGAGGAGACACATCTTGAAAAGAGCAGGAAAGACTGTTCATCAAAGAAAAAAAGGATACGGAACCCTCACATCATCACTGAAGGAAGAGAGTGAGCATTCAAAAGACTTCTTGTAGTCAAAACACTACTTTATTCATTTTTTATTAACAAATCATTTTCAAAATGTCACATTTGGAGAGATAGATGAGAGAGCAGGGAGTTAACTCTGCATCAAGGAAAAAACTGTATATGAAACCCTGACAATATTGCTGAAGGAAATTCATGCCAAGGTCAGACTGTGTGACGCACACTAAGAAAAATCTCCATGTTGCTGAGATAACACTCACTGAATTTAAAGTTGATCTGATGAAAGCTCTATGAGGAGTTTGTTCAAATACAACATGTGTAAATAGTCAGAAATGAAAAAACACATGTCCCTACCGATTTTTGTAAATGTTGGCCAATTGTGGTGCGTTTTGAGTCATGATTTCTCTGTAGATGTACATGTCCAGTTTGGGGTAGATTGGACCACCGTCACGTCCTGTGACGAAAACTCAATAAAGGCAGTTTGAATCTCCATCTTGTTAAGATAACATTCACCGAATTTGAAGTTGATTTGATGAAAGCTCTAGGAGGAGTTCGTTAAAGTACACGTGGAAAATGGCCATAAAGGCCACTAAATCCAAAATGGCTGACTTCCTGTTGCGCTTTTCATAATGCTCCTTGAGACTTTTTTGTTCGTCTGGTCATGATAGGCATGTGTACCGATTTTTGTGTAGATCGGTGAAAGCAAACTCAGGGGCTGCGTTCTAGGTGGCGCTGTTCAGCCATTTTGCCACGCCCATTTCTAATTACTCCAGAATACTTACATTTTCCCCACTTCATTAGTTTTCAAGTATGTTTACGCCCTCAAAATGGCCATTCATTTAAATAATAATAATCAGTTTCAATAGGGCCTTCGCACTGTCAGTGCTCGGACCCTAATAATAGCAGCACTGAAGATACCAACTGCTGATGTCATCTTCTCTATGGATGTCATAGTAGTAGTGGAATAGTTTATAATTTCTCTCATCAAATATTGTGAATGTCACTGTCAATCATATTTATACATTATTCACTCAGTCTTGCAGCTATGTGTGTCTCGGCTCTGATTCAGTCCTTCTCTTGTTATGTCCCCAATTAGGAGTAGGGGGAGTAACATAATACCAGATTAAAAGATCTCAGGAGTCAAGTAATTCATTTTAGGTTGTTTATTGCCAGCAACGGAAGCAAAACAAAACCAAAATAACAAACAAAACTCATCCCTAACTAGAACCAAACACATGTCTAACTTCCAAAAAGAAAGGTACAAAAACGGAACCTCCCTGGCAGCTCTTAAACAGGAGAAAACTGTGTTGAAACAAGATGGCTACTCTCCCCTACAGCTTCCTGGCCAAAAGTCCAACTAAGAATCCCAAAACTAAGAGTAGAATTTGAGGAATAACAAAAAGTTCTCTAGTACTAGCGGGCAAACAGCTCAACAAGTACATACATACAGGCAGTGGATTTAGCATTTTCAATGTATGCTGTCTATTATCTCTGCCAAGAAGCTTCTGTTATGTTTGTTTTGGAAACAATATTACACAAAAGCAACTGACATGTTTTCCATGTAACAGGATGCAGTATTAGTCAGGAAATATTTGTACAGTTTAGAATCAGGGGCCAGATTTATTTTCACATTTTGTTTATGTCTCAGAGATGAATTTATCTAGATTCTAGAGATACTTTATTGATCCCCCAAGGGGGAAATTCTTTTTACACTCCTTATTTTTTAGCCTGCTCACTGTCAGGTGTTCTGGTGATAATTTCAGTTTGGTTCTGTCTCTTCCCAGTTTGGCCGTAGTGGACTGATGAGAGGTGCAGACAAGGCAGAGATGACCGGTTGATTTGGGCTGGTGCAGGGACGGCTGGATGTCCAATAAGGAATATGGTCACTCTCTCTCCCGGTGCATTACCGCCACCTAATGTTCTGGAGTGTGCGTCAGAGTGTTTGGTCTAAAAAACTAGAGGGACATTACTTAAAGTTAAACCCTCTTCATTTAACCAGTTTCTTTTAAAAACTCAAACAATACTTCATATTGTTCTTCTCCAACACTGAGCAAATTCTTCAGGCTTAACTCTTCCACCCCACATTTCCTCAGCTCCCTATTCAGTTGTTCTCTCTTTGTTATATATCTGACAGTGACAGATGACATGGTCCATAGTTCCCTCCCATAAACCACAGTCACACTGTCCTGATGGGTGCTTCCCTATTTAATGCAGTGTTTTGTTTAGTCCTGTGTGTCCTATTCTTAGCTTATTCTTTCCCGATTGTATTCATTCCTCCCACTTTTTGCTTTATTTGATACAGATGGCCTCCTTTTCCTCCCTCATCCCATTGTTTTTGCCCGTCAGTCATGATCTACTTCTAATTATTGATTTGGCTTCAGCCTTACTGAATGTTACCTCCATATTTATTTCCTGTTTTAATGCTTGCTTAGTGTGAGTCTGCCCTTTCATTTCCCTCAATGCCCCTGTGAGCTGGGCTCCACATAAATCGGACTTCAGTTTGTGAATGATGTAGTCTATACAGTGTTTCATATATTTCGTAGAGAATATCTGCTCTGCAGTGGGATGACATTAATTGAAGTGATAACGCTGATAGTGAATCTGAACATACTACAACCTTTTTGCCAGGATGACGACCAAACGACAAAAAGTTTACAAGCACAGGAATCAACGGGTAACGAATCGAAGAGCAACCTGCGATGATCGTTTATTTATGTCTCCGATGAAACTTTTACAAGCAGCACATTTTCAAAGTCAAAATCAAACAAGTGATATGAATTTCCTCATATTTGATGAAAATCCAGACATAGAAAACACAAAACAAACAATGTTAACAAAAGAAAAACATGGTTGTCGAAAACTTTCATGAGCTGATGGAAAGAAAGCACAATTAAAGAAAAGCATTCAATTTGTTCTGCATTTATAGGAAGGGTTTTTAGTTTTCATATAATTCAAAGCCGCCTTTTATTTTTTTTAAAGGCAGATATTAAAAAATCCCACACATTTGAGTTTCCCAATATTTACTCTGAAATTCTGAATAAAGCTGAATTATATCTGAACATGTTTGTAAGACATTGATTGAAATGATCACTGACTTTATTTTTGTTGATCTATTTTTGCTGGGTATACTACCACCACTGGGCCAAATGTCAGTTAATAAGATCTTCTGCCCCGAGGTTTGAGCTAAGAATGAGTTTCTAAATGATGAACTGTTACTGCTCCTGTGATTAAATCAAACATATCGGACAACTTTCAAATTAAAAACCTAGTGTTACAGCAGTGTGTTACTATTTAAGGCATCTTGGTCATAAGACCTCAGAGTTAAAACACACACTGTACACAAACTGCAACACACAGGCCATCACAATATGTCTGTGTACACGTACCTTCAAAAACCAGCAGGGACATTCAGCCCTGTAAACACTCCAGACTTAGACGCAGAGTTCAACGTCTTTAACTTATTCAGTTAAATTAAACAAGTTTGTCTTTTCAGCTACATTTTTTAAAGGAAATCAGATAAGCTGATGCAAAAAAACTATATTCTAAATCCTTTTTCCAAGACTTAGCAATGCCAATACCACATTATTCAGTTTTTCTCTTTCCTCTCGAGTGTTTTTGTGAATGTAAAAGGTCCACACAGAAAGCTCAGTAATGAAGCTGATACTGATACCTGCGTCTGATGCCGTCGTAGGAAAGTAACAAACACGGCAGAATGAAATGTTTGGTCAGCATACCTGTTTATCACTAACCGATCACTGCTCCAACTGAGCATGACCGGAGTCTTCAGCCGGAAAGACTTACACTGCCAAAGCAGATGTTAACCAGAGGTTGGTGATAAAGTCACAGAAAAGCTGTTGCGATTACAGATGTCACGATATGAAATTTTGTCAGAGGAAATATCACAGTTTCACGATTATTTATACTATATATAGAAGGAAAAAGCCACACAACAAACAATATATAGCAAATAATATACTAATGAACTAAAATATTTATTGTTATGACAACATCCAATTAGTTTTTATTGTGTAACTTTTGGCTTTTTAAAAGTAATTCATGTAAGCTATTTTATTTAGTTGCCTTATTATGGAAGGTTGGTCAGTGAATTTTTGTCTCCTGTCTTCATGTGTCTGGGACTTTTATTGTGGAGGGTCACCGACGGAAATTGGCTACATTGGAAATGGTTAATAGGAAGAGAAAGAGAGAGAGAGCGAGAGAGGGTGTTTGTGTGTGTGTGTGCGAGAAACAAGGATTTCTCCTCTCACTGTGAACTCCTCCAATGGAATTTTTTCCAGCGCTGGTGGAAATTAGGCCGTTAAGTCAGTTCCCTCTTCTCAACTAATGTTTTAGTGGCTCGCGCACACAAAACGGGAGAGGTTGGACACCATAAAAATCGTGACGTGCTGTTATCTTAACATCGGTTAATCGTGACATCCCTAGCTGAGATCTTGAACAGGATGGAGATCAGACCACAATGGGAACACAGTGGTAACTGTAAACAACAAAAGACAGTTTCCCCTGTTTCCTTGGTCCCTCCAGCACTTTCTCAGTCATTCGAAAATAGTTTTTAAAATCATGTCTAAAATCTAAATTTCTGCACAAAACATTCATGTTTCAAAAAAATAACCATTGTGGGTCCAAAACCAGAGTTGATGGCACCATCAGAAAAGGTCACTCAGTAGTTTTAGAGTTCATCTTCATCACTATTGTCCCACGATAGGTGGCTTGGAGATCTCCGAGGAAGGAGTTTGTGCTTCTGTCAGGATTCCTCTCCAGCCTCCTGGTTGATCACATGGTGGTATCCCTGTGTGCTCATGGGTGATTTCTGGCAGCAAATGATCCCAAGGATGAGGATGATGAGGAAGAGGAGCAGACAGCTGGACACCACCAGGCTGATGATCACCTCTGAAGACGGACAATCAAAAGAAAGCAAAGGAGAGGGAAGGGGAGAGGAAAAGAAAAGAGGAAATTATTTTGAGTTTTAAAGTCAGTGTGTGCGGTTATATGTAGAGCTCACCTGTACCAGTCTCTTTGGAAGGCTCCTTACACTCCTTGTCCCTGTCATCTGAGATAGAGGGCTTTGTAATTCTCACAAAGTCGTCCAGGGGGCAGTCAAGGGAGCAGCCCGGTAACTGCAGCCGGTACGGATCCACTGTGCTGTCGTTCCGGTAAAACATGGACACTGAAACAGAGCTGCACGCAGAGAGGGGAACAAGACAGTGAAGACAAGCTATAAACGTTTCATTATAATTATAGTGACCACAATGACGATCAGTATTGTCAAAGAATTGTCCAAATATACTGGAAATAACTGAAATCATTTCATTATTATTGTTATATTGTTAAAAGGAGGTTATGTTTTTATTTGAGTGAGTTTGATTTTTAGCAGGATTGTGCAAAAGCTACTCGACGGATGTCCATGAAACTTGGTGGAAGGATGCGGTATGGGTAGGGGACGAACCCATCAAAATTTGGTGCAGATCTAGGGATGTTTTCCACTTCCTGTAATATTGTAAGACATTTTTCAACCTTTTTTTTAACTTCAGAGAATAAGTTATGGATCTGGATTAAAAAGATCAGGCATTTTAAGTGACTGATTTTTTATCAGTTTAACAATAAAAATCCAGATCTCTAATTATCCTAGTATTAACTCCACAGGATAGCATTGAGTCATTGTTGGGTGTGTGAGGGGTGTGTGTTTTACCCATTGTCATCCCTGTACAGCTCAAATATATGACAGGAGGCATATGGTGGCTGTCGACCACTGAATATGTCCATGCTGCTCTGAAGAGCAATGACAGTGGTGTCATGCTGCGAAAGGAGAACACACACATCTTAAAAAAAATATCACTGTTGTGTCTTTACACTACAAGAGAAGCTCCAGACAGTTAGCTTAGCACATAAACACTGACAAACCCCACCTATGAGTAATTCAAAAATATTAAGTTTTCCATATTTTAATTTGCGCACCGCTGACAGCATCATCATTTTGAGTTGCTGCGTTGGATCTGGGACGGCCATCTTGGAAAGATTCTTCACTATTTCACCCAACAGCATCCCTGAAAAGAAAAAGACAGGAAGTATGTCATGGGATTTGTTTACAGTTAGAAAAAAATCTGTATCAGCAGACTTAAAGGGATGGTTCACTGAAAAATGAATATTCACTCATTATCTACTCACCACTATGCTGATGGAGGGGGGGTGAAGTGTTTGAGTCCACACAACAGCAGAGTCTCAGGGGTAAACAGTGTTGCAGCCAAGGGGACCTCTTTTACAGACGTAATAACTTCGAGGAGGATATCATAGGACTTTTAGGCTAAATACACGGTGTACGAAAAGTATGGACACACCTTCGATTGGAATGTAGACAAAAGAACTGATGTCCTGTCTCACTTTGGAGAAACTAACATATATCGTAAGAATGAAAAAGAATTTTGCTCATTTATGGAGACCTTATATAGATTTTCTGGAAACTCACAACCTTGAATTGTGATTCATTGTACAAGTTCTGTAACTTATGCACTGCTGTGATCCTATTGGAATTTATTATTGRTTTATTTAATTATTATTTATCTACATACTTATTACCATTGTTTTATTTTTTATATTTTCTTCTTCCTCATCTTTCGGCTGCTCCCTTTTCGGGGTCGCCACAGCGGATCATCTGCCAATATATCCACTASCCCTCCTATTTGTGATCCGCATTTTTGTTTTGGCACAAGTTTTACACCGGATGCCCTTCCTGACACAACCCTCAACATTTATCTGGGCTTGGGACCG